GAGAAGGAGGGGTTAGCAGGAAGTAATTTATGAGAAGGGAATTTGAGAAGGCTATTTGGAGGAGGTGGTCCCGGCTCATTTTAGAGCTGTCAAGATCTAGTTTCTTTTGAGGACCTTGATAGAGGGCGCATGACTACGGTCTTACAGCTATGCTCCAATTGTTTCCCTTTATTAGGTTTTCCTCGTTTTATGGTCCAGGCTGTGTAACCTCCTTTGTGTTATCATCTCATCATATTTATAATAAATTCAAATTTTCCTTTGAGATTTTGCTATCTGTTTAATAAAAATGTGGTATGTCTTTGAATTTTATAAATAAATGATTATTTTGATGTTCTTAGAATAAAAAATTACAATAAATTTTTCTCCCATTAGGAAGATAAACCAATAATAGACATATGAACTATCATGTTCATTTTTATAGAGGTAGATATTCTTTTAGCTATAGCTATCTAATTAGGTAAGAATAAACATTTGTACTTTTATGGCTATGTTGTTAGATCAAGGAGTATGAAGAAAGTTTCAAGGACAATGGATTTATTTCTGGAACAAAAGAGACAATAAGGAATAAAGCTATGACTGGCAGTCTGATAAAGAGCCCAACTCTGTTAGGAAAAGTACAAAAGGCTTTTCTCTTTTCCTGCAACATCTGTCTCAGATTATTGTATATAGTACTTCCATATAGCATACTTTTGACTTTTCTTCAAAAGTCATATGAAGACATGGAGAACCTTTATAATTGATAAGATTTGAGAAAGTTTTTTTGGTAGTGGTCTTTACTGAAATAGATAATTTTTAAGTAAAATGCAGTTTATGATTTTCAAATGCAATGCATATTCTAAAACATAGAAGTGCAAAAAATATAATTATATCTGTCCCATTAGTTATTAAAATTTAAAATACTCCTATTCTTTGACCTCCCAGGTCCATGTCTAGTACTCTATCCTGCATATATACTGATAGAAGTGCACAGGAATATATGAAAGGATGTTTGTTGCAACATTATGACAGCAAAAAGGAGATTATCTGAATGTCCATTAGTACAGGACTGTTTAAATGAATTATAGTTCACCCCCATAATGGAATAGTATGCCATCATTGAAAAATACGATATGGATATAGAAGGATGCCAAGCTTACCTTAAGAAAAAAAAAGTCAAGTGGCTGAACAGTGTACATAGTATAAAACTATTTGTGAAGTGAAAAGGATATATGTGTATGTGTGTATATATGCCTCTACTTGAATATACATAGACTATTCTTGACATGGTACACAAAATGCATCAAAAATGCTTACCATTTAGAAGGCATCTACAGCTTGAAAAGTATATGTGAAGGGAGTTTTTTTATTTTTCACTATGTACCCTTTCAATTCTTAGAATTTTTGCACCACATGTGTATTAATAGATAAAATAATTATTTACAAAATAAAAATATTAAATTTATATTTAATATTATAGTTTATATAAATTAAGAAAGCCAGCCTATCTCTTGGACTAAAAAATATTTCTAGGCATGTTAAAGGAAAGAAAAACTTCATTACTTCTTAGTTTAAATAATTATTGACTTATGATTAATTATCCCTGAAAAATATTACAGCACAAAAATGAAGTTTCACCATTATTTCTAATAATTACATATGCCACCAGTTGAGACCTCAAGATTTGAATTGTAGTAATGCAAATTGAGATTTTTTTCCCCTGGTGTTTATGCCTCTGCTGAAGTGTCATGGAAACATTTAATAATGATTCAACCATACTGAGCTCTTTGCTTCATTTGCCATGTTAGGCTTTTGTGCAGATGGGTCCTGATCATATGCTGTTTTTTAGCTTGACTCCTATTTTTCGAATCAGAGATTAGTGAAATAGTGTTTTCCATTATTGACTCATCTATATAACTCTCCCCAATATAATGGAGGAATGTTTTTAAAAATGAATTATTTGTCCTTTTTATGATTTAATATGACATGTTTCCAGAGTTGCGTTTTTGAAGAAAACTTTAGTAATTTATAAAATAGTATGCTTTGACACTGACATATATCCTCATGACTATCAATTTCCATTGTTTTCTAGTCTGATGCCATAATTCCCGAGATTATTTTTTTGTTTCTACTTCTCTTTATTTATGTTTGTTTCTACTTTCTTATCTTTGTTTCTATTATCTTCATTGCTATGAGGCTCAGACTTCTAAGAGGAGAAGGTCTGATTCAGTTAGTCACTGTCCAATGTAAGGAAACACTTATAGACAGAGTTCTGTCTTTATCAGGTCATCTGTTGACTGTTGACTTTTTATGTCTGGCCAACGCAAAGCTAGAATTTTGATCTCTGATCCAATTAGATGTATCCAGGAAATCAGGGGCATCTAAGTGATAATGTCCTCTCATACACTCAGAATCTGATCTATGGACTGTTCATCAGTCCAACAGCCCAACACATTCTATTGTAACTTTTGTTAAATTTACCCTTAGCCCTGCTGACAAAGCAACAGAATAAAAGAATAAACCAGCCTAGGGGAAAGTTTAGATTTGCCTTGCATAACTCATAGGTTCGAGGTTCAACAATAGGGGATAGGACACAGGCTTTGTACTCACATAAAGTTTTCATCCTTACTTGGCAACTCCCCAGGCAGACAACCACAGTCTCAGAGATTGTGGTTCTTATGTAGAAGAGGGATAAGAATATTTCTTTGTAGGATTGATATGAAGATTTAGTGTGATTGTGTACGTAAATTGCGAACACTGACAGACACAGTAATTATAATAGCAGCAAACATTTGTTGAGTACTTCCTATGAGCCAAGCATTACTTTAAACTCTTTTATGTCTGTTAGCTCGTGTAATCCTCATAACATCCCTATGAGATAATTATCTCCAATTGACAGATGAGAAAACTGAGGCATGGGCAGTCTCTGTAGTTTGCTTAAGATTACAAAGCTGGTAAGGGAAGGAGCCAATAGCTCACATTGTTAACATCTACACTACACTGGCGCTCCACATGAAGTCATGGCCCCGTGTTCTAGTGTCTAGGACTTGTTTCAGCCCCCAAGTCTCTGTGGCTTTCTGGGTTCCATCTTCTCCATTAAATGCAACCACAACCCTCAGTTCATGATGGTCAGTGGCTCCCCTGGGAATTTGGAGCTGGTTTAAGGTCAGGGATTGCATTGTGTACCATTTTACCTGCTCTCCACCTACTCCCTAAAGCTGAGAGTTACCAGCTTCTGTGGGATAATCTTACAAGCAGCAGTAGTCTCAGGCTAGGCTGGTTTCCTTGGATTTTGGTGGAGAAAATGTCTTCAGCCTATCACATCTCCATGTCCTCCTGTTTTCTCTCCTCCATGTGTGAAACACTGAACATTTTAAGTAGTGTTACTCCTTAAGTCCTACTGTGAAGTAGGTAACATTTGCCTCTTTAAACCACCCATCCTATCAGTCCTTTCTGTTTCACTCTTTCATATCTCAGTGAATCAATTTAATTAGAAGCTTTCAGCTACTGAAGAAATAGGAGATTAGTGATAGAATGGGAAGAGGTCATTTAGAGAAGAGCTTCTCAAACTTTAATGTGCATATGAATCACCTAGGGACTTGTTAAAATACAGATTCTCATACAGTAGGTTTCGGGTGGAGCCTGAGATTCTGCATTTTTAACAAGCTCCTAGTGATGTCAATGCTGCTTGTCTCTGAACTGCACTCTGAGTAGCAAGTATTTAAAGGTGACATCCTAAGATGGCAGAAGATTTAACTTCTTACCTTTCCAGGCACATTTAACCAAATAAATGAATCTCTCTTAGTAGAATTTTGTTAATGCAATTGGATGCTAAGAAAAACTTCACAATTTAAAACGCTGCCCATAAACTGCTTACCAGTTAAAGCCATTGCTGGTTTGAGAAAAGAATGGTATGAACTTGCTTATCTGGTAATCAAGTTTTGATATAAACACTGTAAAAACAAGCATTTCCTCCATCAATATAATTTACTGACTCTCAAATGATTTATATTCATTTTTACTTAGCTTTGTGTAAAAGAGCATTGCTTTGCTGCTGCTCATGACTGAGTTGCTTTTTTTGTTTTTTTGAGACAGGGTCTTTATTGCCCAGGCTGGAGTACAGTGGTGCCATCTCGGCTCACTGCAACCCCTACTTCCCTGGTTCAAGTGATTCTCCTACCTCAGCCTCCCGAGTAACTGGGATTACAGGCATGCGCCACCACACCTGGCTAATTTTTGTATTTTTATTTAGTAGAGACAGGGTTTCACCATATTGGTTGGGCTGGTTTGGAACTCCTGACCTCAAGTGACCCATCCATCTAAGTCTCCCAAAGTGTTGGGATTACAGGCATGAGCCACTGCACCTGGCCCATGGTTGAATTTCTTATAACTAGGAAAGCAGATGATTAAACTTTGGTGCAAGGGCCACATACGTATTTTCTTTCTTTTCTTATTTTTTTCATTTTTTCTTTTGAGACAGAATTTCACTCTTTTTGTCCAGGCTGGAGTGCAGTGGCAAAATCACAGCTCACTGCAGCCTCGAACTCCTGGGTTCAAATAATCCTCCTGCCTCAACCTCCCAAGAGGCTAGGACTACAGATGCATGCCACCACATCCGTCTGATTTGTAAAATTTTTTTTGTAGAGACAGGGTCTTGCTATGTTGCTCAGGCTGGTCTTGAACTCCTGCCTCGCCTCCAAAAGCATTGAAACTATAGACATGAGACACTGTGCCTGACTCCCCATGTGTATTTCAATATCTCTTTCTTTGTTCCTCTGATATCACCTACATAAAAGAAAGGTTAAGTCAACTTTTGTTTCCCTGAATTTTGATTTGGAGTCAGCTCACTCAGAGTGTTTATGAATAATTCTGTTAGAAAAAGTTTGATAATGCTAATCTGAATAATGAAATATCATGTAGAGCTCTAGATGTAGAGATACATTGTGAGTAGAAACCTCCTGTGAAATGAAGCAGCTGATTCTCCTTGTGATGCAAAGGCTTACATTCTTTATTTCTGTTTTCAGGGAGGAGAGCACTGTTACTACCAGGGCCATATCCGAGGAAACCCTGCCTCATTTGTTGCATTGTCAACATGCCATGGACTTCAGTAAGTGTTCAAAAAGTTATTTGTACTGTTTATTTTTTCAATAATTTATTTTCTTTAGTATGAATGCACTATAGTAGATATCCCTATTTTGTGTCAAGAAATAATTTTAAATCAGTGATGGATCTGATTTTTTTTTCTATTTTGTGTTTTATAAACCAAGCAGATTTTATTATTATTATTACACTTTAAATTCTAGGGTACATATGCACAACATGCAGGTTTGTTACATATGTATACATGTGCCATGTTGGTGTGCTGCACCCATTAACTTGTCATTTACATTAGGTATATATCCTAATGCTATCCCTCTCCACTCTTCCCACCCCACAACAGGCCCTGGTGCGTGATGTTCGCCTTCCTGTATCTAAGTGTTCTCATTGTTCAATTCCCACCTATGAGTGAGAACATGCAGTGTTTGGTTTTTTGGCCTTGCAATAGTTTGCTCAGAATGATGGTTTCCAACTTCATCCATGTCCCTACAAAGGACATGAACTCATCCTTTT